TCAATTTGATCTTATTTGGATAGCGTCTTGATTTTAATGTCTAGCACCTTGTGCAGTGGTGTCTTTCAGGTGTTTCATTCACATTTGTTTGAATCAGTCACTAAAATAGTTAAAACGTGCAAACGCCCAGTTGTTTTGATGTTTTATCATCCTTGTGGGAGGCTTCTCTCATGTCCCCGCATGAGGAGCTGGAGCTGATAGAGGGAGCTCATCCGTGCTCTCCCTGGATTCGAACCTGTGATCTGTCGGTCTTCAGTCCTGCTGGCACAGGGGTTTAACCCACTGCGCCACTGGGGGCTCCAATATCTGCATGGTGAAACCACTTTTTTCAACACCAGTTTAAAACTGCATTAAATGGCCAGTATAGATGGGGCCTAAGTTAACATTCCAAGCTTGAAAATCCGAAGGTATTGGGTTTGTATATAAACAAACAGCACAAGCTGGAGGGATTCATTAGTGGAATAGGAGAGAAAAAAGTACTTTTGTTTTGTCAACTTACAACATTTTTATGTTCTATGACACTTATAAAGTCTAAAAGTTCTGAGCCACAAATACACACACACACACACACCCAAATGGGCCAGTATAGACAATGCCAGATCTATACAGGAAAAAGTATTTTTTTAATGGCTGCACAAGATCAGTCAATCCACTCCTGATCTAAGCCTCAGGCTGCATTCAATTTACAGCAAGGAAGGTTGCTATTCAATTGTTCTGTTGGCAGGGTGCCCCTTCTAAAATGACAGGCCAATCCACACTAAATCCATATTTCAGTCCTTGTAAATACAATATGGAAATTTGAACATGTTCCCCATCCAAAAATATAATGTAATCATTTTGAGCTGCTCATTAATGAAATTGTATGATTCAGAGTACAAAATTTATGGCAATATCTTCTAAAGCATGTTTTATGCATGCATGTGACCACACACATACTATATATAAGGAAAATGTTTATTCTATATTTAAACATGATAATAAGTACTGTAATAGCACCCGGAAAATAAATTATAGAAATAATAATAATAATAATAATAATAATAATAATAATAATGGTGTATTGTGTTGTTTCCAGGCTATATGGCCATGTTCTAACAGCAGTTTCCTCCTGATGTTTCACCTGCATCTGTGGCTGGCATTTTCAGATGATCTGATTGTAGTAAAGCAAGTGGAGTTATAAGTGGAGTGCTCACAGATCCAGATGAAACGTCAGGAAAAAATACTGCTAGAACACGGCCATACTGCCCAGAAATGACACAGACCATCAGTGATTCTGGCTGTGAATGTCTTCAACAATACAATAATAATAGTAATGGTGGTAATAATAATAATAAGAAGAAGAAGAAGAAGAAGAAGAAGAAGTTGGCCCTCTAGATTTGTCCTTTTGAGTTTTGCAGATTTGATTATTTGTATATTTCATTACAATGTTCTCTCTAGAAATCTCTACTTCATCCAGTGCAAAAGCTGGCCATAGGGTCACACCATAGGATCACACTGAAGGACCTATAAACTCCTAAAAAGATATTCTGTCTGGTAAAAAAAGGTAGTTTTTATATTCAATTTAGTTTTGCAGGAGTTCTATGCCCTAACCCAGTGAATGTGGAGGCATGAACTGTATTATCAAAATGAAGTACACACATATATGCTGTACAAACAAATATGCACAGAGTCAAAATTTCATGTACACCCAACACATATTCCCCTGCCATCTAATACTGTTATAGGATGCTAAAATTGTCTTGGCCAAGATCAATGGAGTTTGGTCTAGTCAGTTCACTTATGTCTTCCTCAATGCCTGGGAGAGATGCCTCCATTTGGATTTTTCCCCCTTGAGAAGGTATCAAGTTAGGTAGGATTACTGGTTTATCAGAGGAGGTAGTTATTTCTGTAGCTTGAGAAAGGGAATGTAATCACATTCTCCATTATTGTTCCACTTCTATTTGTGCAATCAATTGTGCACATTTTTTAAAATACCTTCCATGCAATAGTCTTTCCTAATGTAGCAAGAAGCAACATCTGTCTCTGAATACTGTGCTTTATTATTTTTTTTAAAGCAGATGTCATAGGAGATATATTATTTTTAAAAGAGTCAAGAAACCTCTGTTTTCATTTTCAGGGCCAACAATGTAACCCTAAACCAAGTCTTTTAAAAGAATCTATGGGAATCAGTCATGCTGAAGCAATTTCCCTCTTTTCCGGCTTTGCTTTCCCTCCCTTCCTCCTTCACTCTCACACGCATATACAGACTCAATTTGCAGGGCACATATGGAACTAATTATGAACAAAGGCTGCTTGTTTTAATATTTGGAATTTCCCACATCAAGCTGCTGCTTTTTCCTTTAATGCCTTTTAATATGTGTGCAGTTATGCTATCCAGATTATTTTTTCCCCTTTTCTTTGTTTTAAATAGAATGTTTGGATATTAGATTATTATTATTATTTTTCTGTCAAGATTTGACCAGAAAAATATTTTTAGTTTTCCATTAAACTAGATATTTTGATTGGCTATAGACGGCCAATGTCTGGATTCCCAGGAGCCACTCTATTTTTCAGAGGGTGATCTGAGGGCTGGAAATTTAGTCTGCTTCCTAGCTGACCTCTTCACTAATGGTCAAGACTGCCAAATAGTGACTCACAATTTTGAGTGAGGCTCGTTCATAATATGTGGTGTAATTCCAGTTGCTTAATAACCACCCCAGGTTTTGACAGAATTTGCCAAGCCCTGGTTGTACCTCCATACTTGGCAGTGGCTGCTGAGCTGTGTTTGATGTGATAGGGCCACAGGTATATGTGTATGTATGTATGTATGTATATATGTATATATGTATATATATATATATAGAGAGAGAGAGAGAAAGTTGGCAGCCTCTAACCATAAGAGTGTGCAGTTATGGCGCATACATGGCATAGCTTGATCATATGGAATGAAAATACAAGAAGACACTGTGGGCTATTCTCTTTTCCTCCTGCACTCCATTTTCTTCTGGAAAAAAATATGATTGGCTAGCAATTAGCAAATCATCTGATGAAATGGATCTAGATAGCATGTTGGCAATTGTCCATTTCTGAATAAGAAAGCACCTCCATGGGTCTCAGTTTTTTATGTTGTATGTCTAACTATACAATTTTATTTATTTATTTATTTATTATTCGAATGTATATGCCGCCACTCCCCTGGGTGTGGAGCTATATATCAATGACGGGGATAAATTTGCGGATGTTCTTTGTGAGGGGGGGGGGGGAGAGAGACCAAATCTAATCTAATACAAATCATTCCCAAATTATGTTTCTATACTCAGTATTCTTATAGGAGAATCACCACAGAAATATATAAGCTCCACTGAAGATACTTCCCCACCTACAGAAAGAGAGAGAGAGAGAGATAAAACTGCACATAATAGCAAACCCTATATTTCGACTAATTGGACCAGAATCATACCATAGGATAGCACTGGAGAACCTAGAGAAACCCACAAAATTACATTTTGGAGAAGAGGTTTATACTATATATCTTCTTGGGTTTTGATAGGTTGTGCCAGTTGTTATTCCCTCCATGTCCACTAATTGTATCCTGGAAGGAGAGGGGGATGTTTGTAATCTTTTGAAGAGTAAATTTTCTTTTCTCTTTTTCAATTTTTTGAATAGAGTAAGTGCTGTAGTGCAGAAGTATCATTTCACTAATGCATGATAATGCTAAAAGCGTATTTTTTTTTAAAAAAGTAATAAGTGAGGGATACTTTTTTGGAATATTAAAAAAACAAGAAGTACGTCTTCAAAGAACAGCAATAAATACGAAAACCTTGAGAAGGTTTGCCCCATTTGGAGACCCCCTCCCTTCTTATTCAGTGATTGTTTCCTGCCTTCACTCTCCCCATGCCATTGATCCCATCTTTGAAGCCAAAATTAAAAGGTGGTGTCTTCAATATTTTTCTTTGTCTGCCCAGCCTTATGTAAGGTTTCTACTTGTTTTGTTTGGCTTATGAGTGCCATATTTCTCCCCTATACAAGAATGATGTATGCATTTCATACATAAATTACTGAAACCAATTTATGGATTTTAAAATATGGTTTGATTAAATGTTTGTTCAGTTTTTGTTCTCCTGCTTACGTATCCCAAATCACTGGACACATTTTAAGAATTTTTTTATTTATCGTGTCAGGAGCATATAAAACGGTTGCATTGTATTTTTTAAACAAACAAACAAAGCACAAAGTTTGCAAACTTGGTGGTTGATTAAATGTCCTTTGACCAGTAGCTGGCCACTTGGAGTGCCTCTGGTGTTACTATAATTTTAAGAATTAAAGGCTAGAAGTAACAATTAACTTGCTGAATTGATGTCACTCTGTGCTCATTCTTCTTGCCTAGGACTTCTCTGGTTATGTAAGAAATCCTTGTCTAAATCTCCTCCTTCTTCCATCCCTTCCCCCACCGAAAAAGAGAGCTCTGTATTCCTACATGTACAGGAGAATGTAAGTAAGAGGGAGAGTTGATTTCTTACCAAGAAAATGCAACCTGCACTGTCTACCACAGACAAATTGTGGGAGAACTTGTCTCTTTGGCACATTAGATCTCTGTCGTACACGTAACTCAGTTTGCAATTTCCACAGATTGGGTATTACCCACTTGCTGCACTATATGTCATTATTTGATAAATATAATATTTGTCTGTGGAAATTAGAATATCTGAGTCTTAGCATACTTCTGTTTCTTGTTTTCAGTTTCATGTAGTTTCTTTTCTTACATGTATTCATAGCACTTTCCCCTCTGTGTATTGGGCAGGCTGAACCCTCCTTTTGTTCCCAGCTCGATGGCTTCAAGGCTATTATGCTCTCTCATGTCTGGAAGGAAGTAAAATCTGAACATGGGATTTAACATTAATCTCCACACCAGATGGTGATACACCAGATATTGTTTTGGAGGGGGGACAGAGGCGTGTGATCAGCTGTACAGCAAACCAGAGCAGGGGGCTGATGGTCACATGATGACATGTATAAAGTCGTCTGATATAGCTTTGATTAGACAACTGACCTGGTTACCATCTGTAGCTATAAGAAAAGAGGCTGACATTTTTGGAACATTATCTCCAGAAACTGAACGTCTCCAACTCTCTGGCAACACATTTTTTTTTCTGTAAGAGAAACATAAACCAGAGCTAAAGATACACTACTTGAAACAAGCTGTGAACGGGGAAGTCTCCCCCGCGCACACACTTTCCTTCCTTTGCTTCAAACAAGCCATGTCTTGACTTTAAAAAATCAGCTATTTGATATTTCCAAAGAGGGAACTCCTTAAAACATTGTAGAGGAAATCTCTCTGGGCTGATCATTTCTCCCCCTCTTCTCTCCTCTTTCTCACACACGCTTGCACATACACACACAGAGTTTTGCGCACCGCACTATGGTGGTGCAGGCAGCTGTGACTCCAAGCAGGAGCCGAAAACTTTTCTTTAAAATACCGTATGGATCCCTGAGAAGACCAAGTGCCGAAAGGGTAAGCAGCACTTTCTTTCCACTTATTAACACATGTAGTCTGGAGAATAGACATATCTAACCTTTTAAATCCTTCATGTTTTAGCCAGACTGGGGATCTCCCCAGCAGTGTTTCAAAAATGAGTGATGCTTGTATGATGATGTACAACAGACAGTCAGATGCTCTGTGATAAGTCACAACGATAACTGATGCCAGCTCCAACTTGTGCATACTTACCTGGGCCATTCCAGCCTGCCTAGCAAGTGGGTAGTCATGATTTACTGGTTGTAGATATATGCTAAGAACAACTGATGAAGATTAGCTAAAATTGTAATCAGCATTAGTGCTGGTTGGCTGTGATTTATTAGAGTAACTGGCACTAATGGAATTCCTTTACAGTGCCAGGCAATCAATATTAGAGTTATATGATGATGGAAAGCAATAGTCAATGCTGGAGCTGATGCATAGGACAGTTTATTAGTATTCATGAAGTAACCTAAGGCAGTAAGTACTAGGCTGAGATATTGGATGATGCATAACAATGTATGGAGTTGGAATTGGAAGAGCGGTGAGAGTGCTACATGTGTTCCACTAAAAGTTCAAGGTTGCTCAAGCAAACTTTTTTACTTTTTTGCTTTGTACTGTCCTAAGGGACTGGTGCTCAGCTCTTGTGTAAGTAGAAGTGCTTAATTTTAACTGACTTCAATGACATTCAAACTATTTACAAAATCAAAGTACAGCATATTTGAGAGTAACAAATGTTGGGTTTATGTCACGGTACATCTCTGAGTCTTTAAGGTCCCAAAGAAGTACTCTTTTACTTCATTTGCCAGACAATTTATGTTGTTATATTTTGGCAACTCTGGACACAGCCTTGTGTTAGCTAAGAACAGTTACCCTTTTTGGACCACAGCTTCCAGAATCCCTCACCCAGCAAGGTCACTGCTTTCTTCCTTGGGGCTTTCCTGGAAGTATAATCCCAAAAAATAATGTTTAGATATTGTGTCTCACCAACCCTTCCTCCCAGGTGCCATCTCAGTTCCAGAGCTAGGAAACTACACCTACCACAATCCCCTGTCACCATGGCCAGTGACTTTCATCCCCAGGAGTGAGATGCCTCTTGGAATTGTAGTGCTTCAAACTATCTTTTCTAGGCTCTGGCTGTTTCTCAGAATGTCCTCTGAATTCCCTGGTTTACCTTCTTCTTTCTCTGACCTCACAAAATGCAAGTAGTGTGTCTGGAGGAGAGTGCTTTTGTTACTGAGGTGAAGTTTCTGAAAAAATCAACTAAGTTTAACTGTGTTTTGTGGCACTATAATGCATTCATTTGCTTTATGAGTATATTATCCATACTTGCTTATGATATTTTGAGAAATTTATTTTATGGGTTTTCATTTAATTTTGGGGTCTTTATTAATATAGCAGTAATTTGTTATTTGTTGTCTATGACTTCTGCACGTGTTCATTATTTACATTATTAAAAGCCACTGAGGTGTAGAACATTTCTTCCCAAACTGTAGTCCTCCAGGTGTTTCCACTTCAACTCCCAGGAGCCTCTGCTGCCTTGCCAATGGTCAGGTATTCTGGGAAATTAACGACTCCCAGAATCCCTACCTTAGCATGCCCACGCTCTGGTTTTTCCCAGAAGCTTTCCCAATGTTTTCTATTTTCCAAAAGCATTGAAACATATCACAATGACTGGGCTGAAAGCATTCAGTTCTGCTCTTTCATCCTAAACATGTGTATAACCAAGGAAGAGTTGGAACAAAAGTGAAGCAATGACCTAACACAAATCCACTGAGTGAATTCAGAGCATAGGTTAATTGTGTACTGAACTGAACAAAACCTAAAAGACTCAAAGAGGTGGGACTGAGACATACGGCTAACCTTTCTGAAATCCAATTGCCTTAGGGGCTGCATTCTGCATGTGCCAGCTGTGTAACAGATGCTGAGCTTGTCATATCCTGCCATTAGTTAAAACAGCTGACGGCCCTACACCATCATGACTTTTGGAGGGGAACATTGAAAAGTCCTAAGGAAACAGAACATTGAACTTCAACATGGATTTAACCTGTAAAAGACTGAGGTGGGATGGAAAAAAAAACATTTTCTCCCAAATGTCTCTTTGGTTTCCATCTTTAAAAATGTCTTAGGATTCTTATCTTGTTTTCTTCCAAAGGTTATCAACCCAATGAATGTGTCATAAATGTTGAACTTCCACTAGCCTGGTCTCACCTTTTCCTCCCAATATGGAAATAGAAGGTTTAGCTATTGAATTACAGCTGACGTTGTAGCTGTCAGAAGTGGAAGAGCGCTGCCAAATAAAGTGGTTGACCCACAATTACGTACAAGTTTAAATATTATTTACTAGCTTGGGCACCTGGCAGTGCCCAGGTTATTTGAAAAAGGCATTGTTTGTTTTAGGATGTTATGTAATACTGGTTTGGAATTACTAACACTACTTATTAGAAAAAAGTCTATGATTTCATTTTTATAAATGCTCCCATTAGAAAATACATAATGATGTGGGTGAACTACAATTCCCAGAATCATGGGTCAATCCTCCCCAAGTCAGGCCTGTATGCATAGCTGGTCATGTTGGGCAAGTTTGGTCCAGATCCAATGCTGGTTGGGTTCAGTGCTCTCTGGATGCAGATGAACTACAGCTCCCAAAATCAAGGTCAATTCCCATAAATCCCTGCAGTATGTTTAGTTGGTCATGGGGCTTCTCTGTGCCATTGTCGGTGGGGGGGGGGGGGGGGGGGGTCACAGTTTCTCTTGATGCTGGTGAACTGCAGCTCCCAGATTATGAGGGCAGTCACCCCCAAACTCTGCCTGTGTTCACAAGTTTAGTCCAGATACATTATTGATGAGGTTCAGAGTGCTCTGGATGTAGGGTCAAATACAACTTCCACACAGGTGGGTCATTCCCTCCCCAACCCCTCAGTATGTTCTGTTGGCCATCAGAGTTAGTTATGGACGTGATGTTCTTTTTGAACCAGAGCGGGATAAAGGGAGAATTCCATATAATATGAGCAAAGAGAAACTGGGAGACCATATTTGGTTTTAAACACTATTCATGTAACATTTATTTGAAACAAGACATTACATTTAATTTAGTATCAAGAGCTCTCAGTCTCACAGACATGCATCCATCATACTCAAAACAGGCCTCAGTCTTTTGAAGAGGGTTGGACATTCCATTGCCATAGTTCATCAGATGTCATCAGAGTTGGAATTCCCTCAGTTTCTTTATAGCCTGTTATCATAATCAAGTTGCAAGAGCATGTAATTTTGTAACCATAGTTTCAGAACCTTGTCCAAGCTAGATAACACAGGGAACATCTCGTTATTCTAGGATGTGTTTTCCCTCCTTCACATTTTTTTCTGATTTCCTTGTCTCAGCTACCAAGTCCTCCCTTATTAATGCATTGCGTGAACTCCATCTTCTTCGGCATATTTCCTCTTTTTTTCACAAACGCTCTGGTTTATCACAGGTTCTGTGTGCCACATGTGTTTCATATCTAGCATTGGGGGCCTCAGAATGCTCTCTGGGTGCAGGGTGTTCTACAGCTCCCACATGGGTGGGTTAGTCCAAACTTTTCCAGAATGTTTTGTTGGTTACCAGGGTTTTGTGTGCCATGTTTGGTCCAGATCCTTCATTGGTGGGGTTCAGAGTGCTCTGGGTGCAGGATGAACTACAACTTCCACGTGGATAGGTCAGTCCCCCCACAAGTACCTCCAGCATGTTCTGTTGGTCACCAGAGTTCTGTGTTCAAAGTTTGGTCCAGATCCATCATTTGGGGGCGGGGATCAGAGTGTTCTGAGTGCAGGGTGAATTACAACTCCCATGCAGATCGGTCAGTTCCCCAAATCCCTCCAGTATGTTCTTTTTTAATATATATATATATATTGTGCTTTTATAATATTTACAGTGAAAGTAGGGGAAAACATGAAACTGCAGAGATAGTGAGAGAATAGAAAGGGAATGAAAAATAAGAAGAGAAGGAAATACAGTGTAAAAAAAAAGAATACCGGATTGTGATTGACTTCCCAAAGTCTATGAGAATATAGCTTTTCGGTCATTGATTGCATTTTCTTCCTTGGTGTATGCCAGTTCGGCTTCCTTTGTGTCTTCTTCTCAAATGTTGGATATGTCTATCATTAGTGTAATTTTTCTGTTTAAAATAAAGTCCTTAAATCCAGACCAATTCATCTTCTTTTGTGTTTCTTTCAGTCTTTGGGACAGGCTGTCCATTTGGATTATAATCCCTCCAGTATGTTCTGATAGTCATGGGGGTTTTGTTTCCCAAGTTTAGTCCAGGCCCATCATTTGTGGAGGTCACAGTGGTCTGTGGAAGTGGGTAAAGGTACTGCAAATCCCATCATCTGTGGTCCATCCTGCCCCAACCCTCACCGGGATAGAAAGTGCATCATAGGAAGTCTGTGTGCCAAATTTGCTCCAGGTGCATCATTTGTGGAGGTCGCAGTGGTTTCTAGAAGTGAGTGTAGATACTTCAATTCCCATTGTCCCCGGTCCATCCTCTCCCAAAACTCACCAGGATATAAAGTACATCATGGAGAGTATGTGTGGCAAGTTTGGTCTAGGTCCGTCCTTCATGGGGGTCGCAGTAGTCTCTGGATGTGGATGAAGGTACTGCAAATCCCATCATCTGTGGTCCATCCTCTCCCAAACTGCACCAAGATGTAAAGAGGGTCATGGGGCATCTGTGTGGCAAGTTTTGTCAAGGTCCATCATTCATGGGGGTCACAATGGTCTCTGGAAGTGAGTGAGGGTACTGCAAATCCCATTGTCCGTGGCAAGCTTACGTACCATAGGAAAGGGTAGGGAAGGGTTAAGGGAGAGGCAGTGGGCAGGGTTGTGCAAATTCCACACCATTGCAGAGAGAAAGGAACCCTGGGATGTGGCTCCCTGTAACCTGCAATGTCCTTGGAGGGAACTATAGCCTGTTTGTGGAGATGGAAGGCTGTCTGTGTAAGTGGACACCTCCGCCACATAC